AGTGCTGTCGCCTTCGTTGCAGTGGGGTTCGCGGCCGGGGGCCAAACGGCGCGGGCTCTGCGGGTTTGGTCGCCGCGACCCTGCGGATGCTGGCGTCAGAGGAGCCCCGCTGAGGCTGTGTGCTGGCGGTGCAGAGGAGAATGCTAATGCACCGTGCTGCGGCTTTGCAGTGGTACCGAGCCGGAGCCGCGTGCTGGCGGATGCAGGGGTGGCACGAGATGGGAGCAGGGGAAGGGGACGGGGCAGGGAAAAGCTGGGGAGCTGACAGGAGGATTGCCATCCTCTGGAAAGGGCTTGCCGCCTTCCCCAAAGCATCATCTCTGCTGCTGCTTTTTAAGGTCGCCTGCATGAGCTGCACTCTCGCTGCCTGAGCAGTGTCTGACCTTGCTGCAGTCTGCTCTGTCCCTGCTCCTTGCACAGCCCCTTCCTGGAGCTGGGCTTTCTGCCTTTTTTTTCTTAGTCCCAGGTTGTCTCAGGTCTCTGCGGTTCTGCTCTCTCAGGCAGGGTGCTAATGAGTCTATCTTTGCCTTAGATCTGTCAGGAGGACAAGGTTGTCCTTGTTTATTCTGACAGAGCTTCTAGAGTTGCTTATTTTTTTCTCTTTTTTATTTCATCCCTTAAGCGGACAGACTGCTTGTAAATCTTCCTCTGCCTTTGGGTGCTTGTCCCACCATCTCCTTGCTTGGTTGCTTAGTGGTGCATGTGATTGTCACCTCCTTACCCAAATCCTCTATGGTATTTTGATTTCTCACCCTCTTCTCGTCTCCCTGCAGGTTTTCCTTTTGACAATGAGCTGCTTAGGCTGGGATGTTGTTAAGGGATCATTCTGCTCTTCACACACCATCTGGGATAGATCTGGCCTTTCTTGGGGTGCAAAAAGGCAGTAATATGTGAACGCATTGCTGCGGTTAGATGATCAGCTCAAGCCTGACCTGATTGTATCCCTAACCCATGGCGAGTGCAACCCACAAGGGTGTTTTGAGCTAAGATGATTTACTTTGCAATTGCTGGGCGCTGGAAGCAGACAGGTCATTGGTGGTGCTGTGTTAAATGACCAAATCTTAATTATTTATGTTTTAAGTCATTCTTCCCCTTGGGTCCTTCTCAGCACTCTGACTTCTTGGAGGGTCTCGCTGCTGTCAGTAAGGGAGGTCTGTCCCTGTGACCCAGCCCTGCTGCAAGACCAAAAGATGCTGATTTAAGTTCTCCTTGAACTGAAGAGCAGGAAGAAAGGAGCTTTTGGGGATCTGACCGAAAATGAGCCATCTTCAAAATGACGTGCCATGGCAAATGGTTTTTTGCATCTCTGTTCTCCTCCTCCTGCAGTTGCATGAGGTAGGCTCGGTTTCCACTCTGATGTCTGGTCTTTGGAGATAGGAAAGGAGTTGGCTACTCATTCCCTGTAGTCTTCAGAAGCAGCTCTTGTCTTGTTTTAGTGGTGCCGGCTGCAGTTGTGTGGGAGTTGGGGTCAGCCCATCTGAACAGTGCTGGTTGTCCTACTTGCCCCATTCCATTTCCAGTCTGGGCTTTGAGATTTCTTGGTGGAAATCTCCTTTCCATGTGAGCCGCCAGGTCTGGAGCATGGGAAGTGGGCTGATGACAGAAGAGTGGTGTTTTCTTGAGGCCTTTCCCAAAATGTGAGATTGTCTTGTGCCAGGGACCAGCCTATAACAATACTTTCTTTGGGACCCTGACAGTTTTCACCATTCTTCTTTTCCAGCCTGTGCAAATGTTGGAGTCTGTTCTGTGCTCCCTGCTACAGGTTGTGCTTTGAGGTTGGTTTTTTTGCTCTGGAAAAAGCCCTTCAGGGCTGGGTTGGAGTTGACCCTTTCAGATAACTGGTTGGCTAAACAGAGAGCTTTGCAGGTGAGGATCTTACTCATGTGGTTCCTCCAAGGGGTCGGCAAGTGGATTGTCCCAGGTGTTTGAGCAAGAGGAAGAGTGGGACTTGCCTGCTCTGAGCAGCACTCAGTGGAGGAGGCTTGCTTGTGCCTGACGGTGTTTTTATCATTAGGAGTTTCCTGTGGCGACGTTCCCGTTTGCAGAAGGCTTGTTGCGTTTCCTGTGGAGCTCTTTGATTAGCGCTGCTTATCTGGGGACTCTGACTCACGTTCACTGAGCAGATTGTGGTGACGTTTGAGGTGACTGTGCTAGAGCCTGCTGCTGGTGCCGTAGAGCAATGGGTGCAAAGGACCTTGAGCTAATGCTTCTGCAATTTATAACCGCTTGGCCCGATCCCCCTTTATCAGTGAGTTAAGGGACCGGATTGGATCAGTGGAAGGCTGGGTCCAGCGTAGGAAGGTCAGGGAGTCCTGCAGAGGAGAGTTGGTGAGGAGGGCCATCTTGTTATCACCGCGGTGGGGTACTCCAGAGCCCCTCCATCAAAGCCCTCTACAGTATCTGAACGGCTCTGTCCCACGATTTGGGTCATGTTTATATCTTGACCATCTCCCTTTGATTCAGCCTGTTTTGCACCATACCCCTTTAACCTTGGGCTGAACGTCATCACGACATGCTCCCCCAATGTGGTTAACCCTCAACGGGGCAGGACATGGGGAATGGGTGCTTTTGGATGTCTCAGTGGGTGGTGCAAGCAGAGGGCTGCCGTTTGGGGTGTTTTCTGAGCAGCCCAGGAGGCTGAGGCTGGTGTGTGTCTGGTCTCCTCCCTCGCTGACCCCGGGGGCTCCCTGCCTCTGGGAAAGCGGGACGCGGAAGCTGTGGCTATTCATGCCCTTGGGAGGCCGCCCCGCTTGCCCTGTCGTACTGGGCTGCTTGAACTGTGAATTTTAATTACATTTTGGGATCAATACGGTGGCCTTGGTAACGAGCTTATTGCTGCTGCAGAATCTGTTTACTTCAGGTTGGTGACAGCCAAAGAACTTAGGTGGCCGGGGACGTGATGTTCCAGCTAGTCAAACAGGCCGCATTGTAATTCGGGTGAGGATCCCGCAGCCGTCGGGGAAGTGGGTACAGCTTCCCTTTGGCTGCCTCCTGCAGACCTGGAGCCCGCAGGCAGGTCCCATTCATGGCCAGCAAAGGAACTGCTTAATTCAGAAGCAATGGTTTGGGTGGGGGCTGTAGGATCTTAGTTTAGAAATGAGGCGTGTAGGTAGGGAATGGCTCCTTTCAGCCTTTGTGGGGAGAGAGGAGGTAGGAACCTGGAAAGGAGGTTCCTCGGGGCTTTGCCTTGCTGAAATCTGCTCTGTTTTCTTCTTCTAAGTGGCCTGGGGTGAGTTCCACCTGCGACTGCGTTTTTCTCTCTCTTCTCCTTTGCCTTCCCGCAGGGAGCCCTGAATATTGCACATTCTTTTCTGGCACCGCGGGGAGAGGCTTAATTCCAACCTGGGCATGTTTTGGAGTGAGAACGTCTGGCCGATCCCTATTGACCTTGGAGCTGTCAGCCGTTTGCAGGCAGCATAGTCTGGATCTCCCTACGTGAACCAACCCCTTCTCCAAATACACCCTGAACTCGCTGGGTTTCTCTCCTGCCTTGCAGCTCCTCTAATCAGAGGTTGGTGCCAAAAGGAAAGTCATTCCCAAAGCTAAAAAAAGTAGTACGCTGGTAACCAAGAGCCAGGCTGCTCTAGACGATGCACTTGCGGAAATACCAGTGCAGTGGGCTCAGCGGGGACCAGCCTGTGCAGGGTGTGTGCTGAAGGTGGGAGCGTTTTTTCCTCTGAAGGCTGGAGCACTTTCCTTGTGTTTCCAATTGCACGGCTGTGTTTCCTGACTCTCTGGGATGCATTGCAAATAGGCTGCTCCTGTTTGGACTCTGATCCTGCCAGGTGCTTTCCCTTAGAGACATGGCATGGGGATGGAGGGTCTTTTAATGGCAGCTGAGAGTAGCTGGAGACTAACCTGGGTGGTTTTTGCCATGTTGGTCTTTTGAAAGACCTCAAAATAGACCAGATAACCTGGGTGCCTTTTGTGCCACATCAGAGTTCAGTTCTCTTGGTCACCGTCACTCTCTTA